GMRGGKGTTGYTCTGCTCGMAGGGATTGTTGCTCTGCTCGCAGGGGTKGTTGCTCCGCTCGCGGCAGCTGCTCTTCATTCCTGGCCGCGAAGGCCGCCCTCGCTCCCTGCGCAGCTCTGTTTACTCGGCGGAACAGGACGGGCCCTGCGGGGAGGTCAGGGCAGCGCAAACAGCCCGGAGCRGCGCCCGCAGCAGCGCTTTGAAGTCCCGGCCTTGGGGAGAGGGTGAAGGAGAGGGAGAGATCCCAGGGGAGCAAACAGCCCCGAGCCAGCGCTGGGGAGTGGGGCGGCGAGCGGCAACGGCGGGATGGGATGGGGACGGGATGGGGACATTAATCTGGTCCCCACGTGCTCTCTGTGACCGCGGGCACCAGGATGGGGATGGGATGGGGACAGGACAGGGATGTCAGCCCTGTCCCCACGYGCTCTCTGTGACYGCGGGCACCAGGATGGGGAYGGGATGGGGACAGGACAGGGATGTCAGCCCTGTCCCCACGYGCTCTCTGTGACCGCGGGCACCRGGGTTTTGGCAGCGCCAGCCCCTGGCGGGAGTGGAGCTGCGTGGCTGGGGATTCCCTCTGGCCCAGGGTTTGGTAGCCCTGTCTGGAGGTGCCCMGTTCCTCTGGCTAAATACAGCGCCGCGTTCCCTGCAGCCCCGTCACCCCAGAGCTGCGAGTCGCCGCCTCTCGGGCGCCACAGGGGTGTCGGCCGCGGCCAGGCCGCGCGTGCCCAGAGCGGAGCCCGGTGCCGGGATGGTGCCCGCCGGGAAGGGCACCCRGAGAGCGCCCCGCTCCCGGGCCTCCGCACGTGTCCGCGACGGGCTCCATGCGGAGCTGATCCCTGTGCCTGCCCCCATCACCTTCCCCTCGCAAACACAGGAAATAAGTCAGCGCCGCACAGAGTAAACATCTTTCCTAAGAGCGAAACCGGCTCCGGGAGGAGCCCGGCTGCAATTTGCATTCCTTGGCCGGAGCCTCCGCCCTGGATCCGCGCTGCCTGTGGGAGGCCTGGCCGGGAGCTCCTCACTGCACCCCGGCTGGGCGTTGGGGGCCCTGGGACGGGACAGGGACGAGGACAGGAGGATTCCTGCCCCGGGAGCCATCCTGCCRCTCCAAAGGGAGCCGGTGCCACACAGCGGGGTCTGTGCTCATCAGCTGCCTCTGTGGTGGGAAACTGCCGCGTTACTCCAAGGAAATCCCATGCCGGAGCTTTCTGCTTCGTGCAGAATGGAAAGGGCCTCAAGCTGCACCAGGGGAGGGTCAGGTGGGAAAAATATCTCCATGGAAAGAGCATTGGAACAGGCTGCCCGGGGAAATGCAGTCACCGTCCCTGGCAGTGCTCAAGAGACGTGTGGATGAGGCGCTTAGGGACACGGTTCAACAGGATGGTGGGGATGGATTTACAGCTGGATCTCGAGGCCTTTTCTAACCGTAATGATTCTGTGACCCCCATGAAGCCRAAGGCAGAGCTGCTGCCCTGCCGGGAGCTGCAGCCCCCGGCATCGTCCTCCTTCCCCCCATGGGACCTTTYTGGTGCTGCTCTCGGGCCATGCGTGACCCTCAGGGCCACGTGGCACCAGCACCACCTCTTCTAGAACCGCCGTCATGGGCCCCGCTCGACCTCACACTGGGCGAGCGCCAGCCCGGCCCCGCACGCGTCAGGACGGCCGGCACCGGGTGGGAGGGAGCCGCGGTGCGGCAGGTACCGACACTGCAGTGCGGCAGGTACCGACACCACGGTGCTGCAGGTACCGACACCGCGGTGCTGCAGGTACCGACACTGCAGTGCGGCAGGTACCGACACCGCGGTGCGGCAGGTACCGACACCACGGTGCTGCAGGTACCGACACCACGGTGCTGCAGGTACCGACACCGCAGTGCGGCAGGTACCGACACCACGGTGCTGCAGGTACCGACACCGCGGTGCTGCAGGTACCGACACCGCAGTGCGGCAGGTACCGACACTGCGGTGCGGCAGGTACCGACACTGCAGTGTGGCAGGTACCGACACCACGGTGCTGCAGGTACCGACACTGCAGTGCTGCAGGTACAGACATCGTGGTGTTGCAGGACCCATCGCTGCAGTGCGGCAGGTACCGACACCGCGGTGCTGCAGGTACCACTGTGGTGCTGCAGGACCCGACACCACGGTGCTGCAGGAACGGGCACCATCGTGCTGCGGGTCTCATCACCACCGTGCTGCAGGTACTGACACTGCTGTGCTGCTGGTCCCACTGTGGTTCTGTGGGTCCTACTGGAGACCCCGGCGCTCCTGCCAGCGGCTCAGCCCCTGCTTGGAACCGCTTTATTGCTATTTGTCTCCCGCGAGCCCCTGGCGCCCGCCGGTGCCCGTGATGTCCCCRCGGCGCCGGCCGCCCCACGCGCTCCACGCGCCCCGCGCCTCACTCCATGCAGAAGGTCCTCAGCGCCGGCGGCAGGGCCAGGCCGCCGATGGCCAGGCGGTGCACGACGTGCTTCTGGATGACGAGGCGGCAGAGCGTCTGCAGCGAGGGCACTGCAAGAGAGGGCGCGGAGCTCGCGGGCTGCACCGGGCCAGGGCGCCGCCGCGGCACTGGGCAGTCACCCCTCCGGCCGCGCGTCCCGGCGCCGCCCCCCGCGCCGTGTCCTGCCCGGCTGGCCTTTCCCTTCCACACGTGTMCCAAGCGCGTGGGCAGCGGCCTCGCACGATGCTGCTGCCGTGACTCGTTCCCGCGCTGCCCAGAGCGCCTATTCCCCGCAGCCAGGCCAGTTGGGAGCTCTGCCCCGTGTCCCCTGTGTCCTGGCATCCCAGGGTCACTCGCGCTCCCCCGGGTCCCGTCCCGGGAGGCGGCCGCAGCTCCGCGCAGCCGCAGAGCCTGCGGTTGCCTCTTGCTCGAGCACAGCCCACAGTCCTGGGCTCATCCCGGGCACCACGAGCCGGCCGGCCAGCGAGCCCCAYGTGCTCGGCGGGAGCCGCTTCCACGGGTGCTCTTGGCTCTGCCGGCCTCTCCTGGGGTCCCAGGGGCATCGCRGCCCCGACAGCCCCGCTGCCCCCTTCTCCCCAGCGGCCCCGCCGGCGCACGTGGCACTAAACTGGTTTTTAAAGGTCACGGAAGTGCTGCGGAAAGAGGAAGCCGGGTTGTCCCCCTGCGGYAGGCGGGACCTGGCGCGCCGGGGGCCTGGCTGCGGATCTGCCACGGAGCGGCCCATCCCGGGGTGCCCATCTCCCTCRGAAAGGGTTGTCCCCCGGCACCAAAGCTGCAGGTCGGTGCTCGGTGTCCAGGCCCGCGGACGCCCCCGGCGCCGGCTCTCGCCGCGGGCCCCGTGTATTTAGCAGCGCGGCYGTTCACGGTCCCAGCCTCGGTGCCCAGGCCCGGCTGCCCTGGTTCGTGTCTCATTCAACATTCGGTGTCTGGTGGCTCTCCCAATACGGAGCTAATTGGTGCCCATTAGCCTGATGCAAGAGCCGGTGACCTGGTCCCATCCCCTGCTTGGGGACGGCTTCCCCGGTGCCACCACCACCAGGAGCACCTGGACACTGCCCAGCCACGGCCGGTGTCCCCGGGACAGCTCGGCAGGGGCTCCACAGTGGGCAGGGGGCCAGGGAGGAGGCGCCTATCCCATCGGGAAGGGCACATCGGGAAGGGCGCATCCCGTTGGGAAGGGCGGCGTGCTGGGAGGATGTTTTGGTGCTGAGGATGCTGCTTGCTCAGCCGCCCCGTGCCAGCGGTGCCAGGATGAGGTGGGGCCGGGCAGCATTCGCTGCGTCCTGGAATCGGCTCCCGGGAGCTGCCGGAGCCGCCGCGTGTGTCCCCCAGCCTGGCCGCATGTCCCCAAGCCCRGCCGTGTCCCCCAGCCCAGCCTTGTCCCCCAGCCCAGCCGCGCTCCGGACCCCGCGGCGCTCCCTGCTCCGCGCCCGCGGGCTCCCCCGCCGCGGGGAGCCGCTACCTACGGCCGTAGTCCACCTGGATGAGGCGGACGCTCTTGGTGGAGGCGAAGACGTCGACGACGGCGTAGAGCGGGCGGGCGGCGGGGAGGCCGCGCGCGCTGGCGCCCATGTCCTCGCCGTTGATGACGATGTGCATGTCGGCGGTGCCGTCGGGCTGCGGCGCGTACAGGACGCCGATGCGGCTGCGGCGCGCCGTGGCGGGCAGCACGTTCAGCTGGTAGAGGCTGTCGAGCAGGTGGCTGTAGCGGCCGGGGCGGCTGCGCCCCACGAGCGGGTCGCGCGGGATGCGCAGGCGCTCGATGCGCAGGAAGGGCTCGGGCAGCGTCCCCGGCGCGCGCGGCTCCGCGCCCGGCGCCACGCGGTTGTGGCTGCGCGTGATGGCGAACACCCACGTGTCGCCCAGGCTGGCCAGGTCGGGCAGYGAGTACTCGGGCACCGCGCGCAGGCTCTGCGGGTCGTGCGCCGTGAGCCCCACGCGCAGGTGGCCGCACCAGCCCCGCTCCTTCTCCTCGATCTCCACCAGGAAGATCTGCCCGGGCGCCAGGGGCTCGCGGCTGAAGCAGAGCCCGTGGGCGAAGCTCTCCACGCGCGTGGCCTGMGTGCGCGTCGGGTCCATGCGCACGTTGGCGCCGTGGACGTGGTGGAAGCGGGTGCCGGAGCAGCGCGGCGCCGCCGGCGCCGCCATCGTGGCCGTCATCACTATTTTTAGCCCCTGGGCCGGCGCCGGCGGCAGCTGGGATGGCCCCCCCGCCCCCGCGGCAGGGACGGCCCCCGGCCGCTCACAGGGCCGCAGGACACGGGCCCGTGGCCACCGTCCCGCTCGGCACCGGGGCCGGCGCTGCTGCTGTGGGGCTGGTGCCGCCCAGGGCCTGTGCCCAGGGCCTCCGCGCTGGGGGTCTGTCCCGGGCGCTGTCCCCACRGGCCCCTCCAAGGAGGGCCGGGCCACGCAGGGCACCGGCACCGGTACCTGCCGGGGCTCTGGCACCGGTACCTGCCGGGCGGCAGGCCCATTTGTGCTGCCAGGCTGTGCACAGTGCCGGTGCCAGCCCAGTGCACAGTGCAGGGCTCTGGGGCTGGGATGGACCCAGTGCTGGGGATGGTGCCGGTACTGGGACTGTGCTGGGCCTGCTTTGCAATGCACGGAGCTGGTGCCAGGCCCGGTACTGGTTGTGGGGCTGTCCTGGAGCCGATGTGGTGCACGGGCCC